AATTGGATGTGTTTAAATAGAAGACATATCATACGTTAATAATTGATTAAGTGTGTCGTTCCACGTTTAACGTAGAGAGCTGAAGCTGAACACAACAGTATTTGCAGCATCAATTATGTGTGGATATTTCTAAGTTAATTTTGTAGATTTTAACACTATATACTGCTAAAATAATACGCATTATTTTTAAGCGAATATTTTTACCAAAAGCGGGTTAAACCAAAAATTACGTTAACAATTGATTTTAAGTGTAAACTAAAAATGCATTATTTCAGAACCAATTTGCTACTTTAGAAATATGCCTATTCAAATCGCTATTCGACCTCAGCAAAAGTATTGCGTTTGGTACCCAAATGTGTATCATTTAAAATTCGGTTTTTGTATCAGAACGTTTTATACATATTCGAGTGGTAGATGGACTTTTGCCTTGTTTGAAATTTTTGTTGGCTCAATGTTGCCAAAATAGGGTAAAAGGAAAAGTGCTAAAATAGTTGAGTAAAAACTACCAATTTTTACCAAAGTAATGTTCAAGTTCCGAGACCATTAAAATGAGCAAACTAGCGCATGTTGTTCCTGTCCTGCTTGTGTTTTTCATTCAGTTCTTTGGTTGTGATCGTTATCTGTCCTTTTGCTCAGACCCTTTTGCAATATTTGAAAATGTGATGTGAAACATACGTAAGAATACGATCGACATTTTTCAATTGCGTTATATGTCTTTTAGTCATTAATTAATAGACTCATATCTTCCTAGTTGGTGTGTCAGACTTAGACCATGTACAAACTGTTTTCCGTATTATGGCTAAAAACGTTTTGTATATTTTAGAATTACCTATCCAATACTATAAAATTAAATGTCATAAATTTTATAAAACGTTTAAATATACATGATTGTAGCAGCAAATTGGCAATTATTTTATTTGTTCGCCAGGAAATCCCTTATTCAGCCGTATCGAGATTTACTAAATAAATAATTAAATGTGGTTGTTAAAACTGCAATTACTCTCATAACGCAACATTTTAAAACTCTTGTTTTTAATGCACAGTTAAAACTTAGATGTAGATAATAATATAATCTCCAGATTAACAAAGGCCTCCAGAGGTTTGATGGCTCCTAAAAGCCCCAACTTGCCAAGCTATAAAAGTTTAAAGTTTTGCTACCAATAACTTCTAGCTACTTATTTATAAATAAATTTTTACTTACAAAACAATTTTGACGAAATTCCTAAATTATGTCTTAATTTGGACTGGAATGCAGCCAGTGTTTTTAGAACATATTTCAGGTGACATGAAGTTTTCGGTAAGGTTGGCATTACCATTCTCCTGGTTGCCATGAAGCTGTAGAGCTTTTTGCTCATATAGTATACTTGTATTTTATGATATTGTGCCTGCCATATTTATTACACGAGGAACGACTAGGGAGTTTCTGGATTCTGTATTGTATTTTTCAAATTTTTCCTTTTTATTTCTTTAAAATTAATTTAAATGCGGATTTTCTACATTAACTCGAGGTTTTCAATGTGTGTTATATTTGGAATTTGATAGCATACATTTAAAATAAATGTTGATCTCCTATGCATCTTCTATTATTAGAGTTTTCCTGTTTTCAATTACTCTCCAAAGTAAGCAATTCTTGAACTTTCGATAGGAATTGCTCATATTTAAAAGGATTTCGTTGTCCGCTCAGTTTTTCCACATTATATGGTCAAATATGTATGCCATGTAAATAAGAAATGTTCTTCGAGGTAAAGAAGCAAATGTCCAAAAACATTTTTGCTGTTTTGAAAGCTTATAATTCTCTATGTCCATACTAAAATGATCAAAGGTAAG